CGGGAATCTAACGGCAACCTTTTGGTGCCCAGGACGACTCCCAACCAACTGAGCCACACCGGCCAGAGCCAGATGCGATTTTTAGTCTGGGAAACACTTCATATTTATTGGCAAAGAGAAGTAAGTAAGCTGAGGGAGACAGAGAAATGATGGTTCAATGTACCCAGAAGGGCTCTGGTCACCATTGTGACTTAAGTAGTAACCCAGAAGCACCGGGCGATTCCCTCCAAGATATTTTCCATGAGGCTCCACCAGCAATACAAGGGCCATTGTAAGTCAGATCAATTAGATCACTTCTCCAGATAAAAATAAAAATAGACTTTCCTATTGTGATCTCATGTGGAGTTCTTATTAGCTATATAAATGGTCACAGCAGTTGTCCCTTTCAAAAACTATAGTGAAATCAAGATTATCAAGATTTTCCCCCTGAAGAATAGTTAAGGCACAAAACTCACAAACAAAAGGTATAAACGTTTTAAAAAGTTTAACTTTAAATATAGAATTGATGCCTCGCTATCATGCAGCTTCCTACATCACTGAGACCCAGGAGGCCTGAGCGGGGCCTGGCTCAGCCACTGCACTTGAGCACCTGGCGTGCCCGTGCGAGCCTCGGTTTCTCCAAGTTTTCTATAGAATTCCTCAAAAATCTCTTCTAACTTTAAACTTCTGTAACCTCATTAAACTGGAAGGTTCTTAAAATGAGCAGTTTTTAATCTGTTAGGAGTTTATTGTGTTCTGTGTAAAGGTATATAATATTGGGCGTGGTTTTACTTCGTATCCATGCATGTGTCACACAGTCCTGCAAACACATTCCTGTTACGAATGGGTCTCAGTTCCCAAGCATTTAAAATGACTGTGCTCTGTTTTGTGATTACAAATATCACCTTAGTATTACTGTAAAGTATTTCCTATTAACAAGTCAGTATTTTTGAAAATGGATTGATTTTCTGTTTTGTTTTAGGTCCTTGCTACTTAGTGACTGAAAAAATTGGTACTGCTTAATAGATGGGGATACTCTCAGATGAGGAAAGAAGGAATGTGCCTCCCAGAGAGATACATTAATATCTTAGATATTAGGAAGCCCCCTCCCCCAATCTCTCTTCTACTGCAACAGCATGAAGAGGGATACTCTCATATGAGGAAAGAAGGAATGTGCTTCCTAGAGAGATACATTAATATCTTAGATATTAGGAAGCCTCCCTCCCCCAATCTCTCTTCTACTGCAACAGCATGAAGGGGCATAGAACAAATCTAATTTTCTCTTTAAGTGTCTGTTAACTATTTGAGGAAACTGAAAATAAACACTATTTCATATGATAATGAAAGCAAAGTAATCTCTGGTTGAGGAGATTCTAAAATGGCACCACTTTTATATTGTTTGGACTGTTTTCCTAATTGGTTTTGTACTATACTCTTTGTTTAAAATGTAATAGTTAAAGCCAAAGATATTGGCATTCAAAAGTGCTTTAAAAATGCCTGCAGATTTTAAACAGATTACATTGTTTTACATCAGGTGCTGCTACCACAAAAAAAAAAAATCGCTTAAGGAGTTTCTGAATATGCAAACTTTGAGCCAAAAAAAACGTAATTAGTTCAAGTAAGTGCATTTGTCCACCCCTGCAATGGAATAAATCTTGACTTTATTAATGTTTGTTTGACTTTAAAACAAGACTGGAATTTTCACCCAGCTGTATATAAAAGAATTATTTTCAGATAATAAGAGAATTATTATCCTCGCCACAAGGGTCCACTTCTCCAGGGTTAATAGAGCATGTTATTTATTCAGGAGGCTTCCTAGTCATTGCCAACATGTTCCGTTCAGAGGATGCTGACATCATAGGAAGGTTTAGAGATGCAGAAATTTAGTCAGGGTGAATGAATGCCTAAACTGCAATGAGCACTCAAAAAACCCTAATCCCCGCTCCACCCTGGCACAGGACCGCTCCTCCCTCTAGCCCTTCCTGCCTGCCACACTCCCAGCCAGACTCAACACAGTTCTTAGCTCTCCACTGCTGTCCTGGGAACTGATCTTGATTATTTTTAGGAAATCAAGCCAGTGAGCTCCTGCATTTTCAGACTTACAAACCTTATCATGAACTGATAGGAAAATAATTTCAGTCCTACCATGCCACTTCTGGCCGGGGAAATGCCCTCACTTTCATCGACAGCCGGTAAGACTTCTTGCCAGCTACAGTTTCAAGCACCTGCTGTTTTCGATGTTTCACAGTAATGAATGGTTCATCTTTGAAAGGAAAAATGATCAATATATTAGAAAAGACTATATTTATGTAAACAAAACAAAAACACTAACTCACTCCTTCATTAAAGAAGGGTCTAAGCAATGAATAAAAAAACAGCTGAATTACGGTCAAGCTTATCAATGAGCCCAAATAGTGATCAATGAGTAAAATAACTTAAAAGTACCCTAACTGGTGAAAAACTTTCAAATCAAGTGGTTGCAAGTCCCAGAGGCACAAAAGCAGTTTCAGGCGAACAGAGAGTGAAACACCTGAAGGGTCTATATCACAACAACAAAAAATTAAAAAGATACTTCTAAACATTCCCCCAGCCATATGAATACAATGAAAGTTGCTCCAGTCACCCTAAAACAGCTAATTTTATATAAAAAAACACCCGGAGAAAGTCAAAAGAGTATGAAAGGCACTGATAGAATTGTTCCCTAGTTTCTGCTCCTTACACTGTTTTTCTTTTCAACACTGGGGATGAATAAGGTTTTTGAGGGTTCTAAAGAGCATTAAGTATTTTCTTAAAAGAATTTGCCTATTGAAATTGAGCAAAAATATTAGGATTTTTTTAAAGTAAAACCAGAGATAAAAAAGCATCAATTCTAAATAATTTATCGCACTATATTTTTATTTCTCTAAATTACAGTAATACCTTAGAAATTTCCTTCTGAAAATAAAGGTAAAAATGATCCTATTTTTCTGTTTTGTTTATAAGCAACACTAAATAAAGGATTTCATATAGCTTTGAATGTGACCTAACTGAGTAATTATTAACCACAATAAATTTGTAAGGAAAAGATTCTCTGTTCAATTCAAAAGTATTACAAGAGCACCTAGTGTGATTTGCTTTTTGGCAGGGGGAAGAGGTGACAGTGTTCCTGTTGGCCAAAAGAAAATTTACTTGGTATATAGAACCCTCCCCCAAAGCACAATGGCTAGAAAGCAGAGCTTGAGTTGCTTACCATATACAAGTACTGAGGTGTTCGCAGATCTGTAGGATGGGCCACTTGTCACATGACAGGTGTAAATGCCTTTGTCTTTGCTCTGCACTTCGTTAATAACAAGAATACTGTAGAATATATTGCCATGGGGACTGCTTTGGTCAAATCGACGCCTTATAGAGGCGCTCTTATTTGTCTAGAAATAAAATGTATAACAAATTAGAAGTAGTAATTGTTCACCCTTAAAGTGGTAGCACTTCTCGGATTATTACCGAGATCAACATTTGATGCTGAAAAGCAAACCCACCTGGAGCAAAAGGTTTGGAAATTACATCTCTGTCTGGTTATTTCAAGTATGTGCACAGTGGCATTTTTCTAAGGACTTCCTCTTCTTCAGATGGACTTGCACATACATCATCTCAATTGTTTCTCACCACCACCCAGTCAGACTGGCAGGATTATTGTCCTTTTACAGATGCACACTGAAGTGTCAGAGACACCGGCCAAAGAAGGCAAAACTAGGTCTTTGAGTGGAAATCTAGTCTTCCCTCCAGCACACACACCCCTCTAAACAGTCACGTATTCTCTAGGCATAGATCTCACACACAAACGCAGGCAATATCCTTAGCACTGATTTAATGACAGTGTTTTTCTTAATAAATCACCATGTGAGTTTTCTTCTGCTTCCTTACTTGAATTGAAGGAAAAGATAGTGAGTCCTGGCCACACCTACTAAGGTGTAACACTCCCAGCTTCATTATTTCACCATTTGAAGAATGCTTGCCCATTTCTGCTAAATCACACTAAATGGATCAGGGGACATGCAAAACCATCAACATGGTCAGCCGACACTTGGTGGGTGCTGTCTCGTGTTTGCTTCAGGGGAGACCTAGAGCAGGCCTGGAGTCCGCACTGTGACCTGGCCACAGTGACCGCTCTGGCTTTGAGAAGATGAGATCACATTGCCTTTTCCTTTCATTGTTCCTTCCTCTCTCTCTCTCTCTTTTTTTTTAGCATTACATGTTATAGCACATAATATGTTATTTCCTTCTCTCAATTCTTCCTCATGAGAGGGCATGGAAAAAAGACTTTGGAAACTGTCCAGAACTGATATTTGTGTCTTGAACTTCTCTCCTCTGTGTCATGTTTAGTAATTTCTACCCACCTATCCCTTTATTGCCTTGTTGAAACAGACACACATTTAAGTCATGTTTTTCATTCTCCGCAGTAACGAGGGAGAAAATGTCACTCTCCAACATCAAAAATCCCCTGAACTAACAGATTGAGGGGCTTTCAGCAACTTCAGTTTTGGAGCTATTACTCTCCCTTTGAGAATACTTTCATTTCCAAGTCAGAGTACTATCGATGTCATTTCTGCCTTGGAAAACAGCTGACCCTGTGTTTCAGAACTGAGTTGTCCAGTACTGAGCTACCAGTCACATGCAGCTATTTAAGTTAAAAGTAAACAAAACTAAAAATTCAGTTCCTCAATCACACCAGCCATATTCTGGGTGCTCATAACCATGTGTGGCTAGTGTTTACTATATTGGATGCAGAGATATAGAATATTTCCATCTCAGGAAGTTCTACTGGACAGAGCCATTTTAGAAGGTTATTGTCTTTCAACAGATGTATCATCATTTTCTTACTTAGGGTAGCAACACTAACAGGATAAAAGTTTCTCTCCTCTTGGTATTTATTCAGAATATTTGATTGATCAAGAATATTCGATTTCTATCAAAACCCAGAAAATATTGCTATAAGTCAGTGATGGCGAACCTATGACATGCGTGTCAGAGGTGACACGCGGACTCATTTTTTGGTTGATTTTTCTTTGTTAAATGGCATTTAAATATATAAAATAAATATCAAAAATATAAGTCTTTGTTTTACTATGGTTGCAAATATCAAAAAATTTCTATATGTGACACGGCACCAGAGTTAAGTTAGGGTTTTTCAAAATGCTGACACGCCGAGCTCAAAAGGTTCGCCATCACTGCTATAAGTCATAGCATTTCTATTTAAATGAAACAATACCATTTTCTAGAAAATTTTTTGGCTAATGTATCCTTAATGTGTCCCTACAGGGCACTTGTTACACCTTTTTATTGCTAAATTATTCAATTTCCAGGGCGAGAAATGTTGATGAAAAACAATAGCTTGGGGCGGATGCATTAAACTTTCGCACATAATTTAATCATAAGTGAACTTGGTGATTGGGTGATCTGAATAGCATAACAGATGACTGTACTTGGGATATGCCACATAACTCACACTGATACACAAGAAATGGGGGCTGGACCTACTGTCAAACATTTCTGAACAGTTTATCATAGGTTCTCCATCTACACATTTTTAAAGTAATTGTTTGCAAGGATGTTTAACTTGTGTAAGGGAACCCAACTCCATCTTCATTCTTCTCATTTTTCTGAAGGACAGAATTGCTCTTTGTCACTTAGCAAATGGAACACTGGATGGCTGGGTTGTATTATCTTTTCCAAACATGCTCCAATCAGGAGCCTGACTGTCTGCCAGTATCTTAAATGAATGCGCTGACAACTTTTTGTTGTTGTTGTTACAAAAGATAGTCCCTGCCTGGCATTAGTGATAAATTTCTCTCTCATCTCTAAATCCTAGAGAATGGTTTCCAAGGATGAAACAATCCCTTTTTCCACTCAGAATCATGCAATAGAAATACCAGTCTATACACTTCAAAACAAAACCTCTGCACATCAAAAGACCATATCTATGCCTACCAGATTCATGAAATGCCAGGCCAAAAAAGCACCCACCAAACCCAAAGCTTCTTTATTGACTCAAACTGCCATAGGAGTCAAATATTCCAATTTCCCCACTGCAAAAACACAGTGGCATTTCACTTACTAAAAATAAATACTATCCTACAGAAGAAATAGAAAAATCGGTCACTCACTTCACCAGGGTAAGTCCATTTGATTTGAACTCTCGTATTGAAGGGTGTGGTGACAGTACAGTTGAGGGTCAGAGTCTGACCTCTGAGTAACTTGACAGGGCTTGGTGGGCTTATTTGGACATCTGAGATTGTAGTGGCTGCAAGTATAAGAAATAACATGTTTTAAAATCAAGGTTTCATTAAGCAGATTAAACCCTGAGTATTTTGGTTTATGTTCTCGCCATTGGAACATCACTTACTTTGTCGATATGTGAGATAGTTTGTCTGGTACAAATGTCCGTTGACAGTTGTCTCACAGGTCAGAAGGCCTATTTCTTCGTATGTTGCATTTGAAATTAAAAAGCCCTTCCTACTGTCCCAGGTTATTCTTTTTCCATCAGGGATCAGAGTATGAAATGGAAACTGTAAAGGAAGGAACACGCTTTAACAAAATCATATTAACACCGTGGCAGTAGCGTTCATTAGTAGGTTTTGAAAACATAATTTTCATCTAAAATACAAATAGCACAGGTAAAAATCCAGTTTATTATAAGCGGGCCTTCAGTTTTCTTTACATGTAGCAATATATACATTTATTATGATAAGTTAGAGTAATTACAATAACTGATTATCAGCCTTAGCAACAAGCTGCACCTACCTAGGATGGGCCCAGTGGTCAGGTCAGACTTCTAGTGTGAGCCTGTGTCTCTTTGGCCTCTGAGAACCTTAGTAATAAACTGGCCTGATACTCAATAGAGAAACCAGTTAGTGTTTTTTTCCACTGGGGCTGCCAGGATATCCTCATGAATGTCTTTATCTGTTAACAAGCTGTAACTTGTCCTCCTATTTCGCATGATTCACTAGAGGCGACAGTCTTTAAAGGACTGGATCCCTCCAGATCCTCCAAGAGTCAGAGCATACACGGGGTTGTTATTCTGAGAAGGCCAAAGGCATTGACTGCCTCTGGAGGGGGACCCCCCCACCTCAAGCTGAGTCTGCAACAATGAAGACAGCTGCCAGCAGATGCGGAGGCCGGAGGCACTGTGATGGCTGGAGTGCTCTCCAATTCTTTGAAGTGTTCCCAAGCACAGTGAGTCCAAACAGAAGAGAAGAATCCAGGACCTGATTCTCCCCTTATGCCTTCTTCTAGGCCCCAAGGACTTCATTTTTAAAGACTATCGTATAAACAGTCTGCCTTGGGATTAGACGTTTTAAAGGATCATTGCTCCACAGAGGGGCCCGGCCCAATGCCCCGATGCCAGGTTGCCAGCCCCGTGCAGGGGCAGTGCCTACCCTCTGACTGCCTCTATTGTTTGTCCCAACTTGGAAAGGGAAAAAACCAGATAACCTAGAGGAAAGGCCAAACTGCCATGAAGAAGTTTCGAATCTTTTCTATCTTCTTTAAAAAAGGACCCCTTACCTCACTCTATCCATTTATCATTTGTTTATATTACTTGCTGAAGAAGCTAATCTGGCTGGGATTTGTGGTCCTGGGGCTGAATTTCTATCCCCAAAGTCACCAGTGCCTCTCTCCCAGGGAATGTCTGGATATGCAAATATGTTACCTGAGTGTTGCTTGGGTTTGGAATGAATGACTCCTGCTTATGAAGAACTGAAAGGGACTGAGGGTGCGTTTTATGTTTTAGTAAATCAGTATCTCTCTGCAAACCTAGGGATGCTTTGCATTCAGTGGGGAAAAACAATATTCTAACTTAGTGCAAACTATTAAGGGAAAAATTCAGAAAAATTTAAGTCAGGGATTGAAATCATGATGCTTTAAAAATACGTGAAAACAAGCATGTGCTGAATCTGAGAGATGGGTTGCTGGCGGATTTCCTCCGCACAGCTTAAAAACAGTAAAATTCCCTCTAAAGTGTTTATCTTGTTCCAATCTATCCGTTACTGCCACCAGTAGGGTTTCTTATTTGTAGTTGACAAGAGCTAAAATAGCAAAAGATTATGTAGCTCGTCAGCTGCGGCAGTGGCTGCACATGTTATAGAGGCAGGAGAAAGAAAGGACTGACAGGGAGGCCGGTGTCCAGCAGGTAATGGCTCTGAAAAAGCAGGCACAGGAAAAGGAGAGGGAGCGGGTGGCAAATTGGAAGAAAAGGCCCAATAAGAGAAATGGAAGGGACCTTACATTAATTTCATGTCAGCATATATATGTAATAGGTTAGATTATTTTCAGTAAGTATGTGTCAAACCAGAATCCCTGTTAGAGCTTTGTTCATATTCTCTCTCTCTCTCTCTCTCTCTCTCTCTCTCTCTCTCGCTCTCTCTCTCATTGATCTTAGGTAGAAAAACAGAGTAAACAAACTCCCCCCACCCCACAAAATTTTACATGCCCTGTTAGGCTTTGTTCATATTCTCTCTCTCTCTCTCTCTCTCTCTCTCTCTCTCTCTCGCTCTCTCTCTCATTGATCTTAGGTAGAAAAACAGAGTAAACAAACTCCCCCCACCCCACAAAATTTTACATGTGGGAATTTGGGAATGTTCCTTGCAGCAGATCTGCATTAGGAGCAAAAAGCAGGGGGCTTGCATGAAACACAGAAGTTGCATATCAATCACATAGCAATTAACATATCAGACTAAGAGGAGTGATGCCATGCTATTGAAAACAACTTGGTAGTAATCCGGTATTGAGTATTAAACTGCTAGATTAAATAATAAAAACGCTCACTCTTGATTTAGGGCTACTTGCACCTGGCATTGTTCCAAGTGCTTTCCATAGACTACCTCCCTTGGCTTCCTAACAGCCCTGTGAGGTGGGTGCTGCTGTAATTGCTCCCATCTCTGAAATGAGGACACTGAGGCAGAGAGAGGGTTGGTCACGTGCCAGTTTGTCCAGCGGGTGAGTGTAGGGCGGTAAGAAGCCATGCAGGGGGGCCTGTGACTTCCTCCAAGGCACAGTGAGGACACTGAAGAAGTCTGGATACGGGTCCCTTGGTAAGAAGCCATGCAGGGAGGCCTGTGACTTCCTCCAAGGCACTTACAGTGAGGACACTGAAGAAGTCTGGATACGGGTCCCTTACTCTCAGTTTTTTTCTAAGACCAATGGAGTTAGACTCCTCTGCTATTTTCAACTTGGATTTTATGTTTTCTGGCAAAGATGCACAGATGTAATAGAAGCCCAAACCTGTCTCTGATGGACTGTACTGAAGGCTTAAATGAACAATGTAGGAGAGTGAATGCAAAGGAAGAAGACAGGGAGATAGATACCCCATCACATTTCACTATCCAAGGCCCATAGGGGACACTGCAAGTCACCCTAAACTTCTCCTATTGACCATCACCACACAGGCTAGTACACCCTGAGTAGCTACATGTGGTGGGACAGTCTTAACTTTTTCTCTTAAAGCTCTAAGCTCTCAGGATTCACGTTTCTGTGTGTGTGTGTGTGTGTGTGTGTGTGTGCGTGTGTGTGTGTCCTGGGGCTGAATTTCTTAGTATAGGAGCTTTTATTCAATTCTTAGTCTTAGTGTATTCCTAAACTCCTGTAGCTGGTGAATTAGCGGGACTGCCATAGTTTAGCGTTTGTTTTTATTAAGTTCGAACCTAAATCTTTTTTTCTTATCCTCACGAACATCTTACAACATAATAGGAAGAAAAATCTCATTTATAACATTCTTTTCCTGCCCCCCTTGCCCCCAAGAGGCCACGTTTGGATGCCCAGCAGGAGCAAAGCCTTTTGTTACCAAGAATTTCCTGGCTCAGGCCAAAGGTGGGAGCTGGGGTGGGCGCCTGCCTGACAGCTCTGTCTTTAGCAAAAACCTGGATTCACCACTCTGCCAAGTTATCATTTGTGTAAGCTTTTTCTCATCTTTGCAGACATTTGGATTTGTGGCAAGTACAAAAATTTTCATGATTTTAGTTCTTTCATTATTCACATTGATTTTTGCTTAAGACATGATCATTTTATTCCATTTAAATACATGCATGGTATAACATGTAGCACTCATGCTTTATGGTAAAAGGGTGTGATTTAAAAGCCCACTAAGAAGCCCAATTGCCTAAGGAAAAAATTAATTAATTCACTATGCTCATTTGCAGTAAAAAAATTCTGAGAATAGCATTGCTCAACTTTACCCTTTTTAAAGTAACAATGATGTCAGGTGATGTAACCCGGCAGGGAATGACGAACGGCCTTCCTTCAGTTATATTTATCACTTCAGGCATTTCAGTGTGCATCTCCAAGAAAGGTCGACTTGTATCTGAATGAGAAGAAAGTGGAGAAATTTATGTATATATCAATGATTATATTATAAACATCTAGACCCTGTAGCTGGTGAGGCAATATGGACGCTGCCATAGTACATCATCCCATAATGAAATCCACACATTCTCTGTAATTCTTCTGGGGACAAGAACGAGCATCAGATCCTATTAGAAACATCCTCACATGTACCATTCCCTTGCCCTTGGAAATCCACCAACAGTGATCTCTTCAGGAGTTACTGTGTTGCCATCTTCCCTTGGTTTCAGCCTGAGATGCCCAGATGAAAAGAAGTCTGATGTTAAATCTCTCTGGACCTGAAGGAACTAATTAGGCCCCCACCTGCTTGCTGGAGATGAGGAAGCTCATTCTGGATGCTGAGCGGAGAATGAATTGGAGAAACTAGACGGTAAGTAGGGAATGGTTGCCTAGGCTCAATGGTGGCTCCAGTGATTGCTATGGGTTGAACTGTGTTTCCCCAAAATGATACATTCTAATCCCAGTACTTCAGAATGTGACCTCATTTGGGTCAAAGGAGGGTTATTGCCAATGTAATTACTTCAATTAAGTGGGCCCCTGGTGCAATGTAACTAGTGTCCTTATAAAAAGTTGGCTGTTGAAGACCGACACAGGGGAGAATGCCATGTGAGGACAAAGGCAGAGGCTGGAATGATGAAGCTTTAAGGCAAGGGAAGCCAAGGACAGCCAGCAACCACCAGAAGGTCAGAGGCATGGAAGGACGCTCCCCTTCAGGTTTCAGGGGAACATAGACCAGCTGAAACCATGATTTCAGACCTCTAGTCTCTAGAATGTGAAACAATAAATTCCTGTAATTTTAAGCAAAAAAAAAAAAAGGTGCCATTGCTGACATTGTGGCAGCCCACTGAGAATGGGATGGTCCTTAGAGAGACCCTATCATCGCAGCATACGTCTTATGCCCCTAGATGCCTAAACCATTCCTACTCATCCTCTGGGAAGCCTTGCAGGCTAGCCCCTTCCTTAACCCCTCTCTCTGCCCCAGCTCATCTTAGGAGCTTTCCAACATCCCCAGCATTCTCCATCACCACACTTCACACACTGACACTGAACTGGCAGTTTAATTCTCTGGCTACACATTGGATGATGAACTCCTAGAGGAGAGGAAATAGAGGCAAGATTGCCTAATGTGTAGTAAATGAATGAATGAGCCAATAAATGAGTGAAGGGCTGTATGGCCCCATCACTTTATAGATGAGAAAACAGAGGTGTAAACAGATGAAACGAGTTGTGTGGACATGAACAGAGCCAGGCCTGGAAGCAGTTTCTCTTTGGGACTAGATCACCAGCCTTCTCTTGAGGGAGGGCTCCCCAGGGGAAGGGCTGTAGGTGGCAGTTGTTTTTCAGAGATATGGCTGATTTTCGCATGTTCCAGGGAAAGTATGTGGCATGTCATACTTTCTAGACTTAGAGGAATTCTGAGAAGAACACAGGACAGCTTCAGGCCAGGGCCTTTCAGAAGTGGACAATCAGAGGGAGGCAACAGATCATGGTGATTAAAAGCACACACTTTACAACCTGAGTCTGAATCCTGGCTCTGCCCCTTACTAGTTGTGAGACTTTGAGTAGATCATTTTACCCTGCGTCTCACTCATAAAATCTACTTTAAGGGGTTAGAATGAGGCTTACATGAATTAATGTATGTGCTTAGAATAGTGCCTGGCAGATTAGTACTATATATGTGTGAGTACTATTATTATGAGAAATTTGAACTTATTGGAAAGAGGGGGTTAGGATATATAAAAATCACAAATTATGTTCATGATATTAACTATTAACTATTAAAAGTTATATATTCATAAAATGGCACCAAAATAAAAGACAAAATTCATATAATAAAATGTTAATGATTATCTTTGAGTAGTGACTTCATAGGTTATTTTCTCATTTACCTTCTGTATTTGTCAGTTTTCCTAGAATGATTGTATTACTTTACAATAACATTAAAAAAATTTTTTTTAATTGATTTTAGAGAGAGAGGGAGAGGGAGAGAGAAATATCGAGAGCGAAATATTGATCTGCTGCCTCCTGCATGCCTCCTACTGGGGATTGAGGTCACAACCTGGGCATGTGCCTTGATGGGGAATCGAACCTGCAACCTTTCAGTGCAGAGGACGGCAGCCAACCAACAGAGTCACACCGGCCAGGGCTATAATAACATTTTCAATTATTGAATTTAAGTCTCAAATTATAAAGCACCATCCATTTTTTACTTGAGGAAAAGTATAAAATTTGCATTTGATTTAGTTTTGTCCAATATAATAGAATGAGATATTAATCATGACATTGAATAATTATGTCTGTTTAGGAAAGCTCAAAGTGTGCAATAGCATATGCAGGGAGGGAAAGCTAATTAACAAGGACAAAGATTCATTATCAGCACGAAATTCGTCTCCTAAATAAATTTGCTGAGCTAGACAATCAGGCAGAGGCTATTGGTATTTGATCATTCCTTCCCTTCCTCCTGTGAGTCTATATTTTGTCTCCTTTGTGAGTCCCAAGGTAAACACAAACACCAGGAAATGGTTTAATTCATGTAACTAAACTGTAAATCCTTCACATTTAATTTACTGTCTCCTTAAGCAACCATTTTCAACCAAGGACATTGGCATAAAAGTTCCTGCAGGAAATAGTAAACATCAGCGTAGTCACATCTAGGCTAATGAATGCCAATCCCAAATGAAAATAGAAGCGGTCCATTCAATGTGCCTTTGGCTTTCTTCTTTTTCTTTCTAAACACTTGAATTTTACTACAGCTATTGCCCTTTAAAATTCAATACCGATGTCAGCACTGGGCCCACTGCAATTCTGTTCAAAGATGTCAGAACCAATGAGTTGTGTCCATCCTAACATAATTCAAAACACATAATTTGTATCCACTGTGTTTGCAAATGAGCTCATGACTAGATACACACACACACACACACACACACACACACTCACAAACAATATTCTCTGGGCTTATTAATAGTATATTTCCTCTGCAGTTTGCTTCAAGGAAGGGCTAAGAATGAACTTGCCTGACATATTAGAATACAAACATTTTTTGTTTTGCAGGATCATAGATACAGAAGAGGTCACAGTTCCATTAATATCACCAGTAAAACCACTTACTATTCCCATAGGACACATTTGTCTTTGTCACAAAATTAAAAATGACTTCCAAACCCAGCCACCACTGCAGAGTGGTTTCCTGAGACCAAATTGGCTAGTTGTTGAAAGAGTGAGGAAGAGCTACTCCAAAGATTGCCAGTGTCCCAGCGGCGCAGACACACTGTCACCAGGGACTCATGCCAACACAGCGAGGTAGAGGTCACGCCACCCTCCCCTTCCTGAACTATTGGAGCTCAAAGCAGTGACAGGAAACTGGCACAGTCTATGAGGTTTTCTCATCCAACGGGAGTATCTGGGCTGTCATCCTTCAAAACAAGTGGGCTGGGACACCGGGGAAGATCAGACAGGGACCCTTGCTCAGAATGGGATTACATCTATTTTTTAACATGTTTTCTTTCTTCCTTTTGAAATCTGTAATACTCTGGCACATTAGGGCACACAGACAGAGGCCCCAGTGTGCCATCCTCACTCTACTTCGTTTCCCACTGTCATCATCTCGGAATTCTTCTAGTAGGTTCAGAGCAAGTGAGCGATCCAAAAAATTCAGGGAGCTTTTCTGACTTGAGGGGTTCAAGAGTAAATATCTTGTTTACTAGCACTTTAAAAAAATCTTCCCCCGAGGATATGCTTGTGTGTATGTGTTTGTGTGTGTGTGTGTTTAGAGAGGAAGAGAGAGAGAGAGAAATAGAGAAAGAGAGAGAATCATCAATCAGCTGTTTCCTGCTTCCCTACCAGAGATCAAACCCACAACCGAGGTATGTGCTCTGACTGGGAATCTAGTCTGCAACATTTTGGTGTACGGGACAATGCTTCAACCAACTGAGCCACCCGTCTAGGGACCAGCACTTGTTTATTCCTATAATATTTATAAATATTTCCTGATTTCTTTTTCCTTTAATTTTATTTTTCTTAACTTTCAGTTGTGGTCATAAGGACTCCCACTTATTTGAAAAGAGTCTTAAATTTGTTGAGGATGAAGTGAAGAGGACAATTAAGCAATTAAGCAATCCCATGAAGAGGGTTCTATCTAGACACAAGAGTTTTCACATCACACAGGTCTTTGTGTTGTAGACTATTCCTAGAGCCCAACAAGAGTTTGTTAGCTGGTGAAATGTTTCATTTGAAATGTGAGCCAAAAAGGTGGCTAAAAAGCAATTTCTTCACTGGAGCAACCACAAGAAAGCTGAAGTAGCTATACTAATATTAGATAAGATAGACTTTAAAACTAGAAATGTTAGAGTTTTCACGTCACACAAGTCTTTGTGTTGTAGACTATTCCTAGAGCCCAACGAGAGTTTGTTAGCTGGTGAAATGTTTCATTTGAAATGTGAGCCAAAAAGGTGGCTAAAAAGCAATTTCTTCACTGGAGCAACCATAAGAAAGCTGAAGTAGCTATACTAATATTAGATAAGATAGACTTTAAAACTAGAAATGTTACTAGATATAAAGAGGGACATTTTCTAATAATAATAGGGTCAATCAACCAGGAAGTTATAGTAATTATAAACATATATTTAACTAACAACAGAGCACTGAAATACACATCAGAAATGAAGATAGAATCTTCTATAATTTAACAATAATAGAAGATTATAGTATCCCACTTTCAATAATGGGTAGAATAACTAGAAAAAAGATCAAAATGGAAGTAGAGGACTTGAACAACATTAATAACCACCCAGACCTAACTGACATCTATAGAATGCTCCACCCATTATAGCAGGATATACATTTTTCTCAAGGGCACCTGGAACATTCTCTAGGATAAACTATACGTTAGGCCATAAAACAATTAATATAATACAAATTATGTTCTCTGACTACAGTGAAATAAAATTAGAAATCAAA